TCAATCTCATACCTAATTGTTTTGACCAAAAAAAAAAAAAAAAAAAACCTCCCCACACATGCACGTGCAATAAAGCTAGTTTAGTGGAATTCTTTCCTCTCTTCTATACCAACATTTTTTTTTTTTTTTTTGTTGAAGTCCAATTTTTTTCATTCAGGAAGTTTCTAGCAACTTCTGTTTCGTCTTCCTTGTGCTGCTTGGTTTCATGCCCTTTTTTAGTTTTCCAGTACCTGGAATTTTCTAGAAACGTCTTTGACTCCTTATAAATATGCCACTAACCCACTTCCTTCACCAACCAGTGAAGCAAAGTGAGAACTCTGTCTACCGGCTCTAATTTTGATTCCCAGGACTTTTCTCCGCATCCAAACAAAACCGCATCAAGTTTTTTCCAAAATGTCTCTCATCCCCAACTCTCGACGAGGCAGTAGCATCTTCGACCCGTTTTGCCTCAACCTTTGGGACCCTTTCAAGGATTTCCCATCCCCTTCCTCCTCATCACTCTCCGCATTTCCTGAATTTTCTCGAGAAAATTCGGCTTTTATGAACACTAGGGTCGACTGGAAGGAGACCCTGGAAGCCCACGTGTTCAAGACGGACATTCTGGGGCTGAAGAAGGATGAGGTGAAGACAACATGGTGCTTCAGATCAACAGAGAGAGGAACATGAAGAAGGACGACAAAAATGACAAGTGGCACATAGTGGAGAATAGCAGCGACAAGTTCTTGGGAAGGTTTCAGCTGCCGAAGAATGTAACGGTTGATCATATTAAGGCTGCCATGGAGAATGGAGTTTTGAGTGTGACCGTACAAAAGGCGGAGGTGAAGAAGCCTGACGTCAAAGCCATTGAAATCGAGGTTAATTAATAGTGAAATGTTGTCTACTTAGGAAATAACATTATGAAATGGAGTGCCAAAAAGAGAAGAAAAACTTGTGTGGGGTTTGACATAAACTTGTGTGGGGCTTGACATGCCACTAGATGATGTTAAGTGGCACTACACGCCACTCATAAATTGCCATGTGTTAAACTTAAATATGATTTCTTATTTTTAGTTTTATATGAAAATAAAATTAAAAACTTAAATCATTATTTCTTAAAAAACTGAAATGGTAAAAACAAAATTCACAATCCCAGTTAAATCTACCTCCATTTGCGAACCCTCCTCTTTTCTCTCGTCGGTACCGGTGATCTACAACACCGTCAATTCTTCCTTGCTCTTCAGGCTCTCCCTTTATTAAGTCTCTCATCTCCCATCTCTCAACTCTCTCTAATGATTACTTATAACTCGTTCAATTTTACATCTATAGTCTATTAATATTTGAAAATTGGAAACGACAAACTACTGGTGGACAAAGTTGGCTTTGAGAATTGGGTTCTTCTCCAGAATTTATATGCCCTTCCTTAATAATAATTTGATAATACATTGAAATAATGAGAAGTTTTATTTTTTATTTTTTATTGAATTGAAATAATGAGGTTAGTCAGAAACTTAATCTAGCTTTGATGGATTAATAAACTTTTGAACCAGTAATTACCTAAGATCTGCACAATTTCCCAGCAGCCATGCAAGGCTGTGAGAGAGAGATAAGCTTGTGATTATTTTTTATGCGAATCATGAGAAAGCTAATGTTTGTTTGCAATGAGTCACATACATAAACAGATTCGATTATTCAAAATTCGAATACATTTGTTTCGATTCCATCACTCCTGGAAGAGTTGAAACTGCTTCAGTTTTCCAGGGCAGGTGCTGCAAAAGGAGGTGGTCTTGAAATTGTGGTGAATTTCCACCGCCCCTTGCAATTCCACCATCGCCCATTCCCGACAATCCTTTTCGTAGCTGCACTTCACCTGAATCTGCATTCCTCTCTTACCGTGTGATTGTGGTGTCCTTGAAGTTCAAGCCTTCTAACAATTTACTTTTCCATATATATATATATATATTAATTAAATTTTGAATTATGATATAAAATAAAAATAAGAAATTATACTAATGCAACAATATTTAACACATGGCAAGTTATGAATGGTATGGGACTACCACTCAGCATTGTCTAGTAGCATGTCAAGCCCCACACAAGTTTTTCTCCAAAAAAGAGAGTGATTTTGTGTAATTGTTTTTAAAATAATGACTTGTGCGTAGTTAAGTGGATACTAGTTTTGATTTACGTATGTGCTTTAAAATAATAAAATTTTCAAGTGATAGAATAATTAGAAGACAGCTTTTGTTGTGAAAATTTGGATTTAAACTTCTCCATCCGCGAAACAATTTTGTGAGGCTTTAGATTTTAAAGCTCTGATTGGATCAGTTTGAATGAAAAGTTTTAACCAAGCTTCTAAAACTGGAAAATGGATTTCTAGGCAGCAAAGGCAAGAGTCTTGCCTTAATATAAAAACACATGTTAAATGTATATTCATAAATAATATTGCTGTTAATATAAAAATACATGTTAAATGTACTTATAACGGTATTTAATAGTTAGAAAAAAGAAAATTATGACAAATTTATTTTTAATTTTTAAATTGTTAAAAAAATAGGTAGACGGATAAACAAAAGTAAACAGGTACGCGGTTATGGGTAAATGGGTATGGTTATTGGTATGAGTTTATCCGTTTATGTAAATACCCAACAGGTAACCGGTTATGCGGGTAAAAGTTTAAACGATTATGGATAATAACTGCGGTTACCCATCCGCCATAACCGTTGCCCATAGCTAGGCAAGACCCATGGCGTACAATTGAATTGAGATTTGAAAGAAATGGCCTTGAGATTTGTTAGTTTGGGATTTTCCTTTGGCGGTGGAAAATAGTTGTAGAGAGGGAGGGTGAAAAGGGACGATGAACAGAATAAAGGAAAGAAATGCAATTTTTAACTCACATGTAAAGGTACGTCCATGCTATTAACAGAGGGATAGCGCATAATTTCACAAGTGAAAGAAGTTGTCATTGCATGATAGTGTGAGTTCGAATTCTGTTGATGGCTAATCTAACAAAATCTATCGTTTGAATATATATTTCCTTACTCATATTTCTTAGAAACTTTTTTTTTTATTTTTTTTTGGGTCAAGGGTATGGAATATTCAATAAAAGAAGTTCAAACAGATGAATTACATCTTACATAGCCTTAAAGAGTACCGACATACAGAAAAGAAGAGACCACTTATGCAAACAACTCATGAGTAATTGTTCTTCACTGCAGAAAGAAAAGACCATAGTTTTTGCTTGTTACCGCTACCTTCTATAACCCTTGGCCCCATTTTGTCAACAAAATTGTAACAATGGTCCCTCAATGTTAACCCAATTAGAGCGTTGGTCCCTCAACTAAAAACGCGTGACCATTAGTCTTTTAACTCATTAAAATGTACAACTATGGTTTTTTTCGTCTACTCCGTCAGAACTTCCTTCAAAATCATGTCATAGTTAAATGACCATTGTAACAATTAGGTTAATGTTGAAAAATCATTGCTCTAATTGGATTAAAATTGAGGGGTCATTGCTTCAATCGGGTTAGAGTTGAGGGACCATTGCAACAATTTTCTCATTTGATTTTTCTTATTTACCTTTTGATTCAGCCTCACGTGCATGACCTGTGTCTTATTTTGACGTAAGTTCTGACAAAGTGGACGAAAATGATCACAGCTGTACATTTTGATGAGTTAAGTGACCAATGATCACATATTTTTAGTTAAGGAACTATTATTGCAATTCAATTAAAGTTGAGGGATTATTGTTACAAATTCCTCTTTATGCTATTTACAATATTATCGCTAAGCTTCTTGCCAATCGGATCAAGGATGTCCTTCCCTCTATCGTGAGCAACTCTTAATTTGCTTTCTTCGCTGGCAGGCGAATTGGAGACGATATTATGCTTTTGAAGGAGTTTCTGAAAAATTACCATAGAAATAATGGTCTTCCTAGATGTGCCTTGCAGGTGGACATTCTGATAGCTTATGATACCTTGTTGGAAAATGGGTTACTAGGATTAGGCTGGTTCATTGTTCAATTCCATTTATTGTAATAGGAATAAATAAAAAAAAATACTTTTCATAAAAAATGCTTTTAGTAATTTTAAAAACATTTTCAAACAAATTCGTACAAAATTTATATGTCATGACTAATAGTAAGCCTAATATTATTCGAAATAGACTACCAATTCTAATTGTGACATTTGTACTATGAAATAATGTGACCCCACGAAGAGGATGGCTCAAGCCATGTATTGTCCCTTGAGAATTTGGGGTTGGGAAGCAATGCATCCAATTTTCTTTCACTTTATCCTTTTTCTTGTTAAAGAGAATACCAAATGGTTCGTGAGCAAAGCATCCAAATCTTTTTCACTTTTTTATTGTTAAAGAGATTCCAAAATGGGTTCGGAAGCAAAGCGTCCCATTCTCTCACTTTGTCCTTTTCGTGTTAAAAGAGAATAAAAATACCTTACTTTAGAATCACCTCCTCTTGAGGTAATGCTCGTTAAATATTTTTTTTTTTTGTTTCTCTATTTATATTGTTGGAAAACTCTTCTTATTAACCCTTCCCCATTCAAGTTATCTGCTCATATATTTGCATTGCTGAGGTAACATAATCTGTCCTTCTTGATACCATTCAATATTCATATTTTCTAGGAAATTCGTGAGTACCAATGCGAGTACCAGACACATGAGTTGTTACTGAATAAAGCATAGATTTCAGAACTTTTATTATGTCGGACAGTTGCATTGGATTGATTTACAATACAGGTACATACATACATATATATATATATATATGCATCTTGGAAACTCTTTCTTTTCAATATTTGTTGTGTTAAGTGTTCATTTTTACCCGTATGACCAAGAAACAAAAATGATGGTTTTACATTATATTTCTAGCAAATTCGTGAAGCACCAGGTTCCAGTACATATTGTTGTTGAACAAGGCATAGATTTCAGAATTTCATTTTTTTTCTCTACCAGACAGTTGCATTGGGTTAATTTACAATACAGGTATGTATGTGCTTCTTCGAAACTCCATTTCTTTTGAATATTTGTTGTTTAGGTGTTTGTCACTATATGTTATTGTGTTTTGATGTCCATCGACGTCAACTAAAATTGAGCTAACTCCCCCTTATAATCAAATATTTAATTTTCTCATCGCAATACAAAAAGTTTGAAATCGCGTTTGCTATGTGGTGGTGAAATGTAAATTATTTAAAATTTGCATACTATAAAATAATAATGAGTAAATAAATATACACATGCACTGAAACCATCATATATGACTTTACAACCTTAAAATTCAATTTTCTTTAACTAAAACTCATCATAGTATATTTTCTTAACAAAAACTCAATGACTTAACATATATATTTTATTGCTTTTCCTGCCTATATTGTTAGAAAGCTCTTATTAACTCTTCCACATTGAAGTTATCTACTCATATATTTGCATTGATGTGCATAATCTGCCCTCCTTGTGCATGCTAGCATTCAACATTCAAATTTTCTAGCAAATTCGTGAAGCACCACTACCAGTACCAGACTTATGATCTGTTGCTGAACAAAGGCATATATTTCATAATTTTACTTTTACTCTGCCGCACAGTTGCATTGCGTTGATTTACGATACAGGTACGTATGTACTTCTTAAAAACTCTATTTTTTTTCCAATATTTGTTGTTTTAGGCCTTTGTTTTTACCTTGCCTGATCAAAAAAAACAAAAGTGTGAGTTTTACATTCTAGTGCCTGCCGAATATTGTATTTCAACTGAGCTCCAACACTATAACTAGGCTCCAGCTCAACAATTTTATTGATTAGGTTTGACTTCACACAGTTTTGTACTTTCAGATGCCTAAAATACCCTTACGACAGATTAAAAACAAATGTTAATATCATGATTTCATTGCATATTAATAATAAAAGGATATGATGCTAGGGTTTTCATTTGTTTTTTTTTTTTTCCTTTTTAAATTCCTTAGTTGCTTTTCAAATTTGCATAAATTAGGATTTTTTGTGGTTTAGTTTTTCCGTTTTCAAAATATGTGAGCATTAGTTACCAACAAAATATAAGAATGTAATTTTTTTTTTCAAAATTATTTAATTATATTCTATATAAATATAGGTAAATTATTTTACTACATATATATATATATATATATAATAACAATAAAATGTGCTTAATGTATGTAATAATAAATGCAAAATAATTACCTACAATATAAAGGATGTGATTTGGTTCAAGATTTATTTTACCTATTTCACATATGGGTATAGGTAAATTATTTTATGTAGATTAAAGTACCTACTTAAAGATAAAAAATGTGATTTGGTTCAAGATTTAATTTACAATTATTTCACATATCTATTATACAAGTAAGGGGAATTTTGAACCAGGTGCAACATCCCTAGCATTTAGACTTTTTATTAAACTACTTTCTACAATTTTGGTGCCACTTTTTCTAAAATGTCCTCTTTCCAAAATTCAAAATTACATGAAGTGCCATTAATCCACCAATTGATTCAAAAAATAATATTTAAAGCTCCTAAATCTAGCCATCTATAAACCAAATCCAAAACAAAGAGACATATTATTAAGTTATCAATCAATGATATGTACCAAAAAAATTAAAATTAAATGTACCAAAACTAAAATCAAATATACCGCAAACTAGAATTAAACGTACCAACACTAAAACTAAACGTGCCAATCAACGATATATACAAAACTAAACGTACCAAAAATTAAAACTAAACGTACCAATCGATAATATGAACAAAATCAAGTATGAAAACAAATAATAAACGTATCAATAATGTATACAAAATAATTCTCTCAATAAAATGTAGACATAATAATTTAAAATTTTAATTATCCACCATTTTCATTATCTTGAAGTTAAAATTATATTTTAATTTTAGGTGAAAAAAAAATATATTTTTTATGAACAAATTATAACAAAGAGATAATTTGATAAATATTTTGAACGAAAAACCAAGATTATCTCCTAAAAAATGGCTCAACTAATTGAAGGACAAATTAAGAGATATGAAATTTGCCACTTAGTATTACAGTCCAGTGACATTCCTCTTCACTTGTAAGTGAGAAGTCTTAGGTTCAATTCTCACCAAAGTCGAATTTGAATCACATTATTGCTAGCCTATTGTGAAGCTAAGCCCACTCTCTCCTCTCCCTTTAGTATAAATAATATCGTTTGTTCAAAAAAAAAAAAAAAAGAGATATGAAATTTTAATTTCAAAAATTACAGTAATAATTTTTAATTTGATAAATAGAGAAATATTGATGTGACCTAATGTACATAAGTTCTTTGATCAAAATCCTAAAAGGCACATATGTTATATAAAAAAAATAAAAAATAAAATAAAAAATAAAATCTTTAAATTTTAAGCGTTTAAATCTAATTAAGTTATATTCAAATGCTAAGCAACCCGGTGGGACTTTGTAGCAAGGCTTCATATCTTTACGGGTTTGAGCTAAGTGACGCTTAAGCCCTAAGGTATGAGTTATAGAGGAAAACTAACAAAGATCAACACAAAACTCAAACAAAAGATAAAGACAGAGAAGAAATTGAAAAAAAAATAAAATTTGATAAGTTACTGAAAAACTGTCAAAAACAGTGGGTGATGGAGAAAGGAGGCTTGAAATCTGAAACGAACCATGAGGGCGGCTGGAAAAAAATTGAAAAAAAAACTTAGAGGAGGTGTGGGGCCTATGATAACGGGATGAGGATGAATGAAAAAACAATAAAACAAAAAACATAAAGAAATTAAAAAACTAAAAAAACCTCAATATATCACGTTGTTTGTCATATCATGTAAGTATTATACAATATTGGAGACATTGTAATATTATAGAATATCTCGCAAAACGGCATTCGCGACAATATATATATCACGCAATCTCGCTCTATATTGAATACTTTTGTAATAATATAATACTAAAGAATTGAAGTAAAAATACATGTAATAGTTCATTTGCCACATAAGCTTATACTTGTCATGGATATTGTTTGGTAGATCTTGGTGACTGGTTTCTAACGATACTAGCTAATTGTTCATCAAGTGTGAAAATTTTCATAGTGAAAGAGGTCCTAATTTCAAATCCTAACTCTTCCTTTGATAAAATAAGAATGAAAATAAAATACAACTTAGATTTAAACAGGACAAAAATATCTGATTGTGAATGCTGTGTTGGGGCATTGCTTCTTTGGTTTTCGGCATTTGAGCACCTTCTTGAATGTATAATAAAACTAAAATGTGCTTAATGTATGTAATAATAAATGCAAAACCATTTACCTTGAACAGAAAGGATGTAATTTAGTTTACCTATATTTCACAGGTAGATATAGGTAAATTATTTTACTTAGATTAAAGTATCTACTTGAAGATAAAGAACATGATTTGGTTCAAGGTTTAATTTACCTATATTTCACATATATAGATACTATCCTTTTACCACACGCTAGCGCGTTTGGCAATTTGCACTTTTAGATGTTATTTTTATTTGTAATTTTATTATTATTTTTGTTTAAATATTTTTTATATTTTTATTTTTAAAAAATTAAAAGAAAAAACTACCCACTACATGTGTAGTTTTATTTTGTTAACCTGGATTTTATTTTTACGAAGATTATCATTATATAATAATAAAAAGAAGAATATATATATATATATATATGTATATTGTATCCTATAAAACTAAAATGCTTGCCAAAATAAGGAAAGAAACTAGATGAAATTTAGGATTTCATCATTACTGTAGGTATTAGTAAAGTTTGTTGATATAATTAAGATGTTTTGGCAGGATGTAAATAGTTTGTAATAAGAGGTTATTTTCTTTGTCTACATGTCAATGGATTCAGATTCCGTTTACAAAAGTTAATACCGAAACAAACAATTTCAGATGCCCTCAAACAGAAGCCACTAAGCAAGTAAAGGACAACGGGACAAAACAACCTTCCACCTGGCCTCTGTACCAGTACTGGAGTTGCTTGCTACTTTCAATCAGAAAAGGTGTGTTTCAATTTGATATTTAAATATAGGTGGATTTTTGTTTAAAAAATAGAATTACAAGAGTCTATTTATAAAGAATCCTATGTATCAACAACAATTTCAAATAATTCAAGTTCAGAAACACAATAAACAAATACAAATTTAAATATTTTACACAGTGATGATCTTATTTTAAAAGATAATTTTGATCTAGGTAGTTGATTTTTGAATTTGATAGACCCAACATTCCTAGCTTTTAGACTTTTTATTAAACTACTTTCTACAATTTTGGTGGCACGTTTATTAAAATGTCCTTTTTTTTAAAATTCAAAATTACATGAACTATCATTAATCCACCAATTTATTCCAGAAACAACACCCAAAGCTCCTAAATCTAGCCTTCTTTAAACCAAAATTATTATTATTATTATTATTATTATTACTCCTAAATAAAGAGACATAATTATTAAGTTATCAATCAATGATATGTACCAAAAATTAAATTAAGCGTACAAAAAATTAAAATCAAACGTACCGTTAACTAAAATAAATTGTACCAAATACTAAAACTAAACATAACAATCAATGATAAGTACACACTAAATGTACCAAAAATTAAAACTACACATACCAGTAGATAATATGAACAAAATTAAGTATGAAAACCAATAATAAACCTACCAATAATGTATACAAAATAGTTCTCTCAATAAAATGTATACATAATAATTTAAAAAAATATATAAACATCCACTATTTTTGTTATCTTGAAGGTAAAGTTTAGGAGAAAAAAATATTTTGTGCGGAAAAATTATAAAAAAGAGATAATTGGATAAATATTTTGAATAAAAACCAAGATTATCTCAAAAAAAAAAAATTTCGCTTAACTAATTAAAGCCCAAATTAACAAACCAATATACAAAATTTTAATTTTGAAGATCACAATAATAATTTTTAATTTGATAAATGGAGAGATGCATGATGCGGTCTAATGCACGTAAGTGCTTTAATCAAAATCCTACAAGGCATAGATACTTGATACCCTAAAAAAAAAGAAGGGAAAATTATAATTCTCTACAGTTTTTCTATATTATTTAGATTAAGGGTGATACTATCTACACACCCATTTTTATCTCTCACACACCCTTCTCAATTTCGGGCCGTTGGATAGAATGAATTGAAGAAGATCAATGAACAAAAATTTAACAAGGGTGTGTGAAAGATAAAATGGGGTGTGTGAATAGCATTACCCTAGATTAAACATCAGTGCTTTTTTAAAATTTGATTAAAGTACTTTGACCAATAGTCATCTCTATTTTTTAAAATTAAAATAATTTTTTAATTTATCATTTTATCTGCATGATGCACTTTTCCTTATTTAGTGGAGATATTATTAATTAAACTATATTTTCTCTTCTTCCAAATATGTTTTTTCGATCACTTTTTTTGTTTTTTGTTATGCAAACATTTAATATTATTTCTTTTTGTAAATGGTTTTTTTTTTTCATTTTCAAATAGTTGGTGATCAATATAAAAGTAATTTTTCAATTTTTTTGTGAAATTATATATATATATAAATATATATATTTTTTAAGTATAGTTGTTGACGAATTATTATTATGTACAATACATTACATATATATTACTTGCAAGTACGTTTGAATTTACAAAAATTATTAATTGTTACGTTTATTTGCAATTTTGGTATGTCTGATTTGATACATATTGTTAATATTGGTACATTATTTTTATTTTGGTACGTTTTATTTTGTACACACTGTGTATTGGTACTTTTATATTATTCTCAAGCCTATTTTCTCTTAACATACTAAAAGAAAAACTTATTTCGGTACGTTTGATTTTGGAGGATTTAAAAATATTTTAAACTATTTGGAAAAAAAATATTTTAAATCATAAATAATTATTGCTAAATTGTAGCATAGGGTTTGCGATTTTTTTTTTAAATTTTTTATTAGTAATTTTTTTATTTCTATATTTTTTAATATTCACGTGGACCTATCACATAGACACTATGTCATCAATTAAAATAGATTATAATGGAAAACTTAACGGATATATGAAAATATCTTAGAATTAGAATTATGATTTTAGGTACCAAATTGAGACAAAAAAACTTAATGTATGAAATGTTGAAAACAAAAAAATTTCAAGCAGTAAAATAAGATTAACTCTTTAAATATAATAATGATCTTATTGTCAAATGCTATCAAAGCATCGCACAGAATTTTTTTTTTTTTTCATAAAATAAAAATAGTAAAATACAACCTAGATTTAAACATGACAAAAATATCTGATTATTAATGTTGTATTGCTTGTTTTGTTTTAGGCGAGCACTGAGCACGAGACTTCCAGAAGCTACCAACAAAGAGGAGCATTCCAGCCGCTGTCTTTGATTACAGAAGGAAATGGCAGCGGACTTTCTAATTTCAATTGCCTCAAAAATTGGAGAGTGCTTGGTCACACCAATAGGAAGGGAGTGTGGCTATTTGGTTAATTACCATTCCAACCTTGCAAGTCTTCAGCGTGAGATAGAAGACCTTTGTCGCAAGAAAGATGGAGTGCAGGGTTTGGTAGATGCTGCCAAAAGGAACGGTCAAACCATCAAACCTGATGTTCACAGTTGGCTAAAGAATGTGAACGACGACATGGTCAAAAAAGTGTTGCAGTTTGAGGATGAAATTAACAAGAAAAGGCGATGTGTGTATCGATGGAGCTTGAGTCGGAAAGCCTATAAGATTACACAGCATGTTCTTCAGCTCCAAAACAAAGGAACGTTTGAAAATGTGGCCCATCCTGCACCTCCACCAGAGATAGGGTCAACATTCGAGAAAGTTTTTAAGGATTTTAAGTCCAGAATGGCAAAAATGAATGAGGTGATAGAGGGTTTGAAGAGGGAAGAAGTACGAATGATCGGGATTTGTGGAATGGGGGGTGTGGGTAAAACCACAATGGTGAAAGAAATCATCGTAAGATTGGCAAAACTAGACTTGTTTGATAAAATTGTGATGGCAACTGTGTCTCAAAATCCAAGTATTGAGACGATCCAGTTGGACATTGCAGCACAAATAGGTTTGGAATTGAAGGGGGAATCCAAATCCGGAAGTGCACTAAAGCTATATGGGAGACTCACGGTAATAAAAAGGATCCTGATTGTATTAGATGATGTCTGGACAGAGCCTAATTTTGAGGATATTGGACTCCCTTCTGGAGATGCTCATAAAGGGTGCAAAGTTTTGTTGACATCACGAGATTCGGACGTTTGCAACAGGATGGGAAGTGAACCAATTATTGCAGTCCCGACTTTAACAACAGAAGAATCATGGGAGCTCTTCAGAGAAATGGTAGGCGAATCCTTCGATGATCGTGATTTACGTTCCGTTGCAAAAGAGGTTGTGAATGAATGTGGAGGTTTACCTATTGCAATTGTAACGGTTGGAAAAGCTCTAGTAAAGAAAAGCAAGCGTGAATGGGATGATGCCCTTAATCAGTTGCGAAATTCTACCCCAGTGAACATCCCTGGAGTGAATGACAAAGTTTATTCTAGCATAAAATGGAGTTATGATAGATTGGAGAGTGATGAAGACAGGTCATGTCTTTTACTTTGTTGTTTATTTCCAGAAGATTATGATATTCCAATTGAGTATTTGGTTCGATATGGGTGGGGTCGAGGATATTTTAGCAACTGCTCTACTTTGGAAGATACAAGAAATAGAGTGCATTCGTTGGTTGCCCAACTACAAAGAAGGTTTTTGTTGATAGATAGTAGCAACAGGGAGACTACAAAAATGCATGACATAGTTCGCGATGTTGCCATATCGATTGCTTCAAGAGATCCACATCGATTTCTAGTAAGAAGTCATGATAAAAATAAAGAGTGGCCAAATTTAGCTACATATGACACAATCTCACTGGTTGGCCATCTAGAGATTCCAGTTGGTTGCCCAAAACTTGAGCTTCTACAGACGATGGAAGGATGTTTTTCAGAAGGTAGCATGGACATCATTTGTAATGAGATGAAAGAACTGAAGGTTTTAGCTTTGTTGGATATGAATCGCCTAGGCTTATCAAGATCACTAGGAGTACTGAAGAACCTGCAGACCTTGTGCCTAGATGGGTCTAAATTTGATGGCAGGTCTACTGATGTTATTGGGAGTTTGGAGAATTTAGAAATCCTCAGCTTTCGGAATTGTTATGACATGCGTGAGTTGCCGAGGGAAATTGGACGACTTCAACAGTTGAGGTTGTTAGATACGACACGTTGCTGGAGCCTTAAGGTGATTCCACATGGTATCTTCTCCAGCTTATGTAGACTTGAAGAGTTGTATATGATGTATAGCTTTGATGAATGGGACCTTGGAACAGGAAGAGAAGATGAGCGGATGGCAAGCATTTCTGAGGTGATGTCTCCGTCTGATCATTTGAAGGTTCTATCCATAGAGATGCCCCCCAATGTCATCCACTTGTTGCCAAAAGACATAGTCTTGAAAAGCCCAACAATAAAATTCCATATATACTTTGGAACTCGGGCAATGGAATTTTGGGAGATATTGCATTTAAGTGCTGAAAGTGATGCAAGGAAGTTCGAAAATAGTTTGGTGATTGGTGAAAGTGATGCAAGGAAGTTTATGGAGAGTCAAGCAGTTGGACTTATGTTGAAAAAATCTAAAAGACTGGCTTTGGGCAATGTTAAGAATTTCTCTGCCCTCACTGATTTAGAGGAAGAGGGATTTCAAGATTTGAAAGTTTTGTATCTTAATCATTGTCCAAATATCGAGTATCTTGTAAATGGAACAAGTGCACTCTTTCCTCCCATACAATCAGCTAGTCAGCTTCCGAATAGCTTTTTGACCAACCTAAGATTCCTTCGATTGTCATATTGTGGTGTCTTAAAGTATGCCTTTTCACTATCAGTAGTGAGAAACTTGGTACAACTCGAGGAATTAGATATTGGTGGATGTCATCAAATGGAAGAAATTGTGTCGAAGCAGGGGAGGGAACATGAGGAGGAAGCCGATATGACATCTTTCCATAAATTAACCAATTTGAATCTCCGGGGTCTACGGAGTTTGGTTGGTTTCTTCCAAGCCAACAAGCTATACTCCAACCAAGAGGTATGTCCCACTATCCAATCTCTATGATATAAGGAGGCAGCCGATATGTGGAAATTTGAAATTGTTTAACCGATAATGATTTTTCTTTTTCAGGAAACAACGCCAAGGCTTGAGCATCAATCTGCAGGAATATTTGAAAAAGCAATATTTCCATCAAAGTGCATTTCATGGTTTCCAAGTTTAGAAGAGGTAGTATTGGATCGTATGAAGTTTGAAGGCGTGCTATTTGATCTGAAAATCCATATAGTTATGGATGGGCAGACATCTCCAACATTTCCCCAGTTACGTAAGTTGAAGATATCCTTGTGTACGTTTACACACTTGTGGAAAAACATTCCGTCTGGATTCCAGGGCTTCCAAAATTTGAGATATTTGTATGTGAGTGGATGTTCTGGTCTAGATTATGTGTTCTCGCATTTAATTGCCCGAAAACTTTTGAATCTTGAAGAGGTAATGATAGGTGTATGTCGGGACATGGAAACTATAGTCAGAATCACAGAGGAAAATGAAGAGGAGGCGACAAAAGACATGATTTTGTTTCCGAAACTGAACACATTTGAACTAGTAGACCTGCCTCGTCTCACAAGTCTTTGTCCAGAGGGATCTACATTTCAATGGTCATCCACAAAAAATATGGACGTGGATGGATGTGACAAATTGAAGACATTGGGTGCTGTAATTCCACAAAGAAAGAAGTTGGAGAATAAGTCTCAGAAGGATTCAACAAGTCCTGATTTCAGCACTTCTCCAACACGTTCATCAAATTGGTGCCCTGCTGGATGTGGATGCGCACCGTATTCAAGAGCAAACGCCCACCGCTCCATTGAAATATTGCCACGTCCAATCAATTTGGAGGTAAGCTTTTAAATTAGGTTCAATTAACCTCTATAAGTACAACTTTTAATTAGTATTGTATTTTCTTGTTGATCGTGTTTAATTTTCTAGGTTACACCAACTAATCCTGAGGACTCAAATGATGATGATGATAATCTCGAAAAACTTCTTGTAATTAACTGTAATTCAATGGAAGTGATTTTCCAACTCAAGGGACCAAAGCATGAAGAAAGTAGTCACTCCCTTGAAGCATTCAATAAATTGAGGTTCTTGTGGTTACGTACGTTACCAAGTTTAACGCGTGTTTGGGAGACGGGTACTTCACAACCGATGTTCGCAGGAAGCAGCTTCGGAAACTTGAAATCGCTGTGGGTCTATAGTTGCAACCGGTTGAAATACTTGTTTTCTTCGTCCATAGTCAAACTTCTTGCGAGTATAGAGCACATAGAAGTTGAGAACTGCGAGCAGATGGAAGAAATCGTTGCGGCAGAAGAAGAAGCAGGGGAAATTATTACATTACCTAAAGTGGAGTCCATCAAGCTTGGAAATCTGCCAAAACTCAAGTATTTTTGTGGCGAAGCTTATACTTTGAAGTTGCCGTCTTTGGAGTTATTGAAGGTTATTAATGTGCAAGACTTAAGGCCATTTGATTCTAAGCTTGTTGACACGCATAATCCCCGATTGCAAGTAAACCCCGCATTTCGACAGGAATGGACAAGGTATGCTTTAGATTAATGTTTCTAATTTGCAATCACTTTTGTGTCCACCTGGAAGACCGCATCATCAATATACAACCACTGATATGCTTTACTTTAAAGTTTCTAATTTTGAATCACTTATGTGTGCGTATTTAAAGATGATTTTTATTTTTTTTTAACATCTCTCTTTTAAATCTTGATGTATACGTGGAATTTCTAAAGTTTTTACAGAAGACTATATAATAGCATACATATATTAATGTATATGTGTGTGTGTGTGTATGCGAGTATGTGCACACTAAAAAGTGTGTGTGTGTGTGTATTAGAAAAGTCAATTATATCTCAAGAAAACATCGTCTTTTATTTCTAATACAGTAAGGATGAAGATGATGAAATAGACAGTGAGGATGAAGATGACGAAATAGACAGTGAGGATGAAGATGAGGATGAAGATGACGAAATAGACAGTGAGGATGAAGATGACGAAATCAACAATGAGGATGACGATGATGAAATCGAAGGCAAGGATGAAAATGACGAAACCAACCGGAAGGACGAACACAATTGATTGATCAAGCACAAAGGTTAGCATGTTTCCATCTCCAACTTATCTATATAGCACTCAAAAAATATTCTACCATGTTTTATATAATATATACATACATGTATAGCACTTGAAAAATTGAACAGTTTGGATCTAAAACCACAATCTGCTACCTGATTCATTTTTCCGAGGTAGCTAATAGCAGTTAAGGTGTGAGGAAGAAGCATTTCAGATTACCAACTGCCTCAAGAGAAACCTTTATCAGAAACACATATACAATAAACATAACCGTAGTGCTAAGTGGCTTAAAAATTAATTGAGTCCTTAACCCGCTATTTTTGGAAACACATATACAATAAGCATAAGCGTTTCAACTTATTCCAATTTCAGTGATTTCTAATATTCTCCAATGCATGCAGGAAAAGAGTTTAAAGAACGTTGTGGCTACCGCAATTCGTTTACTATATCATATGTACAAACCAATAAAAGGACATTTGTTGCACCAGAATTTCATTCCAAAAATACTATTTATGTTGCTTATTTTATGTACCATAAATTTCGATTGCGATTATTACTGTTTGTTTCTAAATTTGCATCATTTGTGTTTTGCTTATTTGTGCTCGAGTTCTTGTATTGCCATTTATAATGATAATTTGGAAATGTTGTCTCTAGCTACCAATATTTGCATTTCAATTCATAATGCTAAAAATTCCGTGATACCATACATGTGTAAGTTGAAATGACATGTCTGTAGAATGGAAAGCTGAATATGCTGTAATGTTGATCACTTACATTACATATAAGTTGAACAATATTATGATACACTAGCTAGCCGTAACTAATGAAAGCTGAATAATATGAACATACACTACGAGATCCGCTATTAATTCATAAAATCTGGTTTTCCCCTAAACGTAACGGAAATCATATTTATCTAGGCATGCTTAATATTTGATAAAGAAAAAACATTTCTTAAATAAATGTCGACTCACACCTCAGGCTAGCTCTCCCTTGAGTAGCCTTGTCTACCAAATAGGTAAGTTCAAGCAACTTCAAGAGAGAATTTCCTCCACATTAAGTCTTAAACATCTACTGGACAGCAGGCAATTCAAAACCAAAGCAAGCTGTTGAATACAACTACAATAAACAAGGAATCAGGCTAAGCTATTGCCTTCATCATAACATGATTTTGGCCCCCATTTTCTAATTTCGTGCCACATTTTCACATTCTTTCCATGAATTTTATAATTCCTACGCAAAAGAGTTCAATCCCACATCATGCTATAGACATGCTTCAACTATCAACCGGGAACGTAATCGTTAGGGATTTCAACAACTTCACAGATACAACAATTACCATAAGTCTCATCTCCGACATTCACACACAAAACCGAATAAAATTCGAAATCAAGAATCAATCCCAAAACTGAAAGTTGAAATTTTGGAAAAAGAACTTACATTGGAGAACAGCCCACGAGAAGAGGATCATTTCTACCTCTTGGGTCAAGGTCAAATTCCGGCGATATTGGCCTGAAGTTGGCCGGAAAACACTGGGTCACCGTTTCTTAAATTTGAAGTTGAGGAAAATCGCCTACGAATTTATAGAAACTAACTTGGGGATTGGATAAAGGACGGCAAGAGCATTCTGGATGTGTAGTTTGAGAGCCTTTGGTGACCCGTGGACGACAGAGCTGTTGCGTCGGCACTCGGCAGTCGTCGGCTTGCTGTTAAATGGGGCTCCTGTTGCAGCGCAAAAGAGAAGAAGGAGAGAGGATACGGGAGGAGGAGAGATAATGGGTTTCTCCCACTTTTTACATCTTAATTCTTTTTTTTTTTTTTTTTTTTTTTGGGAAATAAATGATATTATCTATCATCAAAAGTACATTTGATATGTGAGATGAGACAGAACATGTTTTGATAATAATAATAATGGCTAGATGTAATATAATTCAAATTCGAATGTAATGATAATCGAATATAAGATTTTCCACGTACAAGTTACGAATAAAAAAGAATACCATTACTTTTTTTTCACTTTTAATACACATCTAAATAAAAAGAAACAAAATGAAAAGGAAAAGAAATAAAATATTTTGAAATAGAAATGAAAAATAAAGGTAAACTGACAGCATAAGGTAATCAATCATGATAATACAAAATTATTATACTATCCTTAAACTTTGTAGTGTCGTGGAATCTTTATTTTAGTTCTGAAATTCGTTCTGCTTATGCTCACGCGTTCATATTGATGAGCACTACAAGAAAATATTAAGATGATAATGGCAGGATCTACTACTACCTCGTCCATTGAGTATAACAGAGCAAATGATGGTATAGCACATCAGGATGATACTAGGAAATATGATCCGAAGAATCTCGATAGTAGTTCCATGAACAATCCTTTGAGGAATAGTCATTCTAGAACAATCATTTGGGTTGGTTCATTCTTTAACTGCTCCGCCCCCCCCAAAAAAAAGAAGAGAGACTTGTTCTTGCTCTCCCAATTCAGGAAGACGGAAGTCGCCGGTTGGGCTTTTCCAACCAAGAAAAACATGGGACTTTTGGGCATTTTCTTCTCTTACGCTACGCAATTTCTATTTATTATTTTTGAATAGAAATCTAACTTTATATTAGATATTTGGAAGGGATATTTCTATTCGAGATGCTACTTACTTACATATGATGTTTTCTTTCACAAGGCAGCGACTCAAGCGATTTTAATAGCTTTTCCTTTTCTACTTGTAATTTTAATAGCTTTTCCTTTTCGAGTTGTAATTCTATTTCTACTTTTAATTCCTTTTCTAGTTGTAATTTTAATAGCTTTTCTAGTTTTAATAGCTTTTCCTTTTCTAGTTGCTTTTCCTTTTCGAGTTGTAATTCTATTTCTACTTGTAATAGCAAAATCTGTTCCTGGGTCATAAAATTGGGATTTACGTCATTTTGATTCCCTCCAGAAAAGCAAGTTTTTCTTACCTTCCTGTACGAGTAGTGAAGAATTATAGTGAGTTGTGGTTGGTTGTTGACCAACGGAAAGCATGGGAGTCTTTGGGCATAGGAGGTTCTCTCTCTCTCTTACGATATAAATAAGTCCGGGAATGAGCTATCATATGCCTTCTGTTTGAAAGGCTAATTTCCTTTTACTCAATGAAGAAAGCTAAAACTAAAAGAGTAGGACATAGATTGTATTATAAAAGTTTAATGAGAGATGCGAATCATAGCGTATCCAAAGTAGTACTTCTGTTTTGTTTTCAAGGCAATTAAATTCTTACTGTCCGGTAAGGCAAGGAAAGGCTTTTTCCCCTAAGGGCGAACTTAACCGGGCATGGAAGGCAACTCTATCAAGTAAAGCTAGTCGTCAGTCAGGGTTGAGACAGTAAGGTCGTTCAGGCTTTCTTGAGACGGTAAAGTCGGGAAGGCCTCGTTCAAGTTCTATTCTTTATATGAGCTTCGGGTAACCAAATATGAACCGGTACCATGGGTGACGGCGAAAGAGGCACTTGTAACCGATAGAGCTGGACTTGCTTACTCGAATTAGTCTTACTAACTATTCTCAAAGAGAATGTGCTCTTGGGATAACAATAGGAAAATGAAAGTCTTGCTTGTACTGATCTTCCTTACCAAGACCCCGAATGTGTCAATACCACGCTGCTCAGTAGTCCACCTGCTGAGCAGGATTCCGCTTTCCAGTCGTTTATGCGGCTAGAATTCTCCGTATCCACCCCGGAAATGGTGATTTCTCTATTCAAAACCATTTTTTTCGGGCGGGAGGACCCCCTTTTGTTTATTCCAGCGGAGGATCTGGATTTGCTACTTCGCGTAGCTCTCGAGAGCGTGGAGTTCGACCAGAAAGCGCTTTCCGAGATTTTTGAAAGCCTTTGTAAGGACCGGCACGAATCGCCTTCCTACTCCAGCGTTATGGAATCAAAAGCCGATGCTTTTTCTCAGTTATTGGAACAACACCGAAACGACCAATTGGCTAAGCGTCGGCGTAACCAGGAGCATGCTGAGGTTCATCGATTACAAGAGCGGATTCGTGAACTTCAGAAGGGGCGCGAGTCTCTTTTGAGACAAATCGAGCGGCTCCCGCGCTAAGCAGCAAATCTCCGCGAAGGAATAGCAAAACCTAGTTCACTGATTTGGTAGGGGAGTCATAACATTTTTTTTTCTTACATTCTACGTTTCCGAAACAGATCCTATCAAATATTTCTTCGTTCCCCTTTTCTTTATTAAGCTATCCACGTAAGTCTCAATCTTTCCTGTTCTTCTACTTGTGGCTACTTCTAGCATTTATCTGTACGTTGGTATAAGACACGGATCCATCGTCTTTCTATATGCAAATTCAGTACTTCGTAATTTCCTGCGGAGCCTTCGCTTCTCCACATGGACACCTTCGGTGCCTCACGACTACTTTGACTTCGTAACCTGCAGCTGATCCCAAACCCTTTTCTTTACTTACATAAGGGACTTGCCTGTTTAAGGAATGAATAGGATGGAAAGGGGGATCTCATCAGGTCTGTGCTTGCCACTAGATATCATCTGAATGGACGCTTTCTGGTAATAGAAACCCCATTTCGGCCCCTTCTCCCGTTGGGCACTACCTCCGATGGGAAAAGATACCCGTAGGACCATTCCGGCAGTTTTTCAAGCCTCCCCTCACGCCTTTGGCGCCTCTGATGCATCTGATCGAGACAGAGCTCGAAACGTCTGGGCTTCGGATTGATCTTAATCACATTGGGATGGTACGGGGGAACAAGATGGACTCGGTTAGGTCACCCCCGAGTCCTTTTGCTGGAAGTTCGAATGGCTTCTAGTATGGATGTGTCTCGGCTTCGCCTGACGCTCAAGATCGTCTCAATCCCCTCTCCCTAATGGTATGGTCGAGCAATCTCCCGCTGGTTGAGTGCGAAACCCTCCGCTTGCGGAGATCGAAGGCAGGATTATGAACTGTTTTCCAAGCTTTGGGTTAGGATTGTTCTCTCGAGACCATAGTGGGAATTCCTTAACAACAACATTTTGTGTAAACATGAGGTTACGAAGTAAACGAAGTGAGGTGGAAGTGAAGCGAAGTGAAGTGGGCAATCTTTGCCACTGTTGACTTGAACCAGCGTCCAGATATGGAGGGTTGGCTTAGCGGCAAACCCTGTTTGGAAAACAAAAGCCAAACAGGGGCATCCTACCTTTCGTCGCCCTTACGGACCCTACATCTGTGAAATGACGGAATGATACGAGGGATCCCCGGACGAGTCAGGGAGACGGGGACTGGCAAGAGGGATGGTTTGTAATCATCCCCTCCCACGGCAAGCATGACGAGGAGCACCACTTTCAATACAAAGCAGTGGCCGAGGCGCCACTCTTTCGTTTCAGTCGCGTTGACAACAAAGGGGTGTGCGGCCGTGTTCCGTCAAGCCATCGAGATGAGTGTGCCTCTTTGACAGAGTCCCCTTATCTTGCGTAGTAATTCCGGAATCTCCTGCCACCGAAGTGAGTCAGAGGAAGGTTCCGCTCCTTCATTCTTTTTTTTTTATTGATTGCACAAGATCTGCTTCGCAGCCTAACGGTTGTATTCACGAGGCTGCGCAGTAGAGGTTACGGAGTCAAATGTCATATAAATAGAATCCATCGAAATTCTCTTCTTCCCACCTCACTACGTTCGGCGCCTCACTGCTTCTTCTTCTTCTTCCACTTCACTTCGTTTATTTCATAACCTCACTTCGTTTGCTTGGTTGACGAACATGGATTTAACGCTTTGTTGAGCTGGTCAAAATTGAAAGCTTTTAGCCCTCTCGTCTCGTATAAGACTTTCGCCTCCGCTTCGTGGAATGTCACCACCATCGGCATCGGTATCTTCTGACCCGTCTTCTTCTTTTCGAATTATATTATGACTCTTGATAGGAAAGGCAGCGAGATGAATCCTCTTGGCAATTGGGAGAGAAAGATGCCTTCCGGGACAACCTCCAAAACTTGACCAGCGGATGCCCGCATTCCACTTCCCACACATAAATACCATGGCAACATCACCTTCGGTGCCTTCAGTCAAGTGCAAAGCAGCAGCGGAAACTAACTTCATTTAACCTATAATATCATAGAGAAGAGTAGGCAGAAGAGGTCCCTCTAACCGTGGTACATGATGTCGTTTGATCTCGGCATTCATTATTAGCTTATGGAGAGCCCTAAACAAAGAAAACGGAGATATTTTTAGAGAATCCGCGGGATTTTGTGGCTCGGCAGTCCCCCGGGTGGGTTGGCCACCCGCTACCTTGTTTATTGATAGAAAAAACAAGATTTCACTGTATAAGCACAACTGGTTGTATATGGGAGCACGACCGTTGGAGGAAGGTGTGGCCTCTTAGCTCGTCCACATCTGCCCAACCGGACTGAGAACCCACCCTTGGTTTTCGTAGCTTTTTTGAAATGGTCTGTCATCCAAGCTTCCCCTGTTGCACAAGAATATCGGGCTAGTTCCAGGGCTCGCGGGGATTCTCGTGTAATTGAGCCTCCACCTTTACCCGGACCTCCAACCCTTCTAACTGTCTCGAATTCCCGATTCATTCCTAGTAAAGCTCTGCACTTTTACGGGGGCTGGGTACGTATCCCTTCAACATTCTACCCCGAAACCCTTATTTTCATTTACTGTATTGTATGGTTGATTGCATCATCTATCATCTGGCTCGTAAGCTGATGTCGCTCACTTGACAGGAGCTTGTTTTCCGGGATTTCGAATCGAAGTTGGCAGATGTAAGGTTGCGAAGCAACGGTGAAAGAAGGGCAGGTTCTGAACGAAGTGAAGACTTTATTTGCCCACCATCATCAAGAAGGTTGCGAAGCAAAGACGTTTATCCAGTAAAATGGTGGCTACGGGGATAAAGTTTTTGAGGCAGGCGCACACTTTCAGTGCCTTTCTTTCAGAACCTAGATCTCGATTAGAGGTCGATCAACTAAAAGAGAAACGAGATTCTCCAGTTGATGAGCACGAAGACAGACACCCAGCCCATCTCGTTGCGAGGAGCTTTTTAGCAAGCTCTCCACTTCCTGGCAG